ATATTTATGTCTGAGACAAATTCTCAAGTTCTGAGACGTGTTCTTAAGTTAGAGCTGCACTTTGGAAAAGCTGCAAAGCTACCTATATAGTGTTTTAGGTTCTCGGGTTTCTCTTAAAGAAAAGTTTATGGAGACTGGTATCAGGACTGTGAGATCACAGTATATTTATGAAATATTTTGTATCACGCAAAAATATACATAATTTAATTAAGAAAGAAGACATCCGTCATAATATTAACCTTTAAAGTTTAACTAAGGTAAACGATTCTTGAATGGGGAACTGTATACGTTTTTACAATAGGATTCCGAAACATATAATATTAAGATTATCATTTCCTAAGTTTAAAAATTACATGAAAAGTATTTTGTATATGGAAAAGTCATATCACAACATTGAGGACTACGTGTTAAATAGAGAGTATGGAAAGATGACATTTCAGTTTATTTGAAAAGAGCAATCCCTAGAGTTTCTTGCTCGTTCTTCTTATGGAAGTCAGCACAGTGAACGAGCAGTAGCTTCAAAAATATCATTTTTAAGTGTGAATTTTTACTTATGGTATAAATTGGTTATTTGATTTTGATTGTACGACTATATGAGCGACACAGTATGCATTTACTAAAAAAATAATATGCACTTTTCTAGCTTTGAATAGCCTGAAATTGTAGTTTTCGGGGAATAGTGATGCCGACAGTGTACATATTGCATTAGGACGAACGCTTTAGGATGGCGGAAGCGCAGCACTTTGTGCGAATCGGTGACAAATTCATAACATAAGAATGGAATATTCCGGACTTTCCGAATAAGAATTGTGACAGGCACATTGCTCAGAGAATGGGCAGCCGATGGAGCTAAAAAGTTCTAGAGTGACCAAGTCCGATGATGATGATATGACACAGTCAGCCAAACGACTTGTGAAAAAAACCCGAAATGTTGGTTTGTTTGAAAAAACAAATATACGTGATTTAGATCGTAAGAAACTTGGTACAACGCCTCTACCACGAGTTTACTGTGACAGTTGTCGCTAGCGACCGCGTAAATTATTTCACAATTTTGTATGGCAAATTATACAGCGCCCCTAGCGGTCACAAGAAGACACAACATTTTGTATACAAACATTTTACGCGATAACTATCATTATAATCTCATGGTAGAGGCAGTTGTCTGCGTCAATTACGTTGCTCTCGTACACTTAGTACAGAGAAATCCAATTTTCCAGTTTGAGACCAGGAAATAGTTGGTATGATTGTCTAGAACACGGGCAAGGGCAAAAGAAATACGGGCAATTTATGGGTTGCTGATCGCCACGTACATTTAAAAAATTTCACTATCAATGTTTTTGCACTCTCGATAAAATAGTTATCGTCAGCGCTTAGATAAGCATCGTACCATGAATCCTGTTAATTTAATAAAAAATTATTAGAGTATGAGTAATTTTTTTTATTTTTTTATTTTTTATTTATTTATTTATATTCAGGTTACTGAGACCCATAAATACATACCTTACAGACTAACATACATAACAATATAAAATAACACTAATTACTAATTTAACACGTATTTAGGTTGTCGGCGACGTGTGGCGCCATCTGGTGTCAGGCAACCGGCCACGGAATCGCCGGTATAGGACACCCTTCGGCCAGAACTCCTCCTTCATGAAGGTCGACAGATGTTCGGTCGGCACTCTCACCACAAACGAATTAAAGTTCACGTAGTGGCGGGACTCCAACCGCTCGACCCTCAGGGTGTATTTGGATTTCAACCTGATGTACTCCACTATCTCCTCAGACTTCGTGGAGTAATGCAGGCGTGACAGGTACAGCAGCGTTGTCGGGATTGCCGGACGCAGCAAAAAGTTGGACCCTGTCGGTGCAGTGCCGCACAGGTTACGGCTGGTGGGCTTCCTCTTCTTCTTCTCCACCTTTGTGAAGCCGTCATCGTCGCACCGGTCCGTCTGCCTCTGTGGTTTTGCAACTTCAGAGACAGATACACGAGGTTTTTTCATCCCCTTCGTTGATAGCTGCCTGGCTTGTGGTTGTGGAGCAACGGGTCGGTTAACAGCTGCGACAGCGGCGTAATCACGTGGAGGGGTCAACGTGTTTACGCGTGACGTCTCCGCCGGCGCGGACAATCGAGGGGCGGGGCGCGGGGAAACGCGCTCAGCGACAGCGGTCGGTGACGCATCCGTATGGGCCGACTCAAAACTGCCGATAGATGCATTATGTGCCCCGCGACGAGTACTCACGTTACAGGCCTCGGGTGACCTACTTACCGAAGTTGCACTACTCAGTAATACAACTTGGGCACGTAACTCACAGATGGTGTTATCCGAAGCCTCCAATTTACATTGAACTTCGGCCAGACTTGCTTTCAGGGATGTGATGTCCTTAAGCAGCCTAGTGACATCGACATGGTCGAACGTGACAGGGGGCAGCTTGTGCAGCTCCTTTGCCACGAAAGCAGGCACGTCGTCTGGGTCGGTTTCCTTTAACATCGTTATAATGTCCTGGATACTCTTCGTTCCTCCATCCCTCCGGCGAGATGGCATCTGCTCGGCCTTGCCAAGCACACGGAAAAGCAGCGCCTTGCCACTGCAAATCTCATCTTCTTTAAAGTTTGATTTGCAGATCTGCATGATGCTGACCTCGTCCATAGTGTCGATGGCGTGTTGTATGAACGCCAGCAGTTCATTGGCTATGAGTTGTTGGGAACCCATAGTCAATTACGCGCAGCGGTCATTACCGCGCGGATCGCGAATTAATATAATTCTTACTGTGTGAGCACGTCCGAATCTGAGCGTGCATCGCACCGGACTAATGTATGCAACACTTATTTCCATGTTACTAACAGCACTAAAGCTGAGTCAAAGTTTTTTTTTGTTGTTAATATGAAATACTTGCTTAGTTCGCCATATGTGCTTAGTCGAAGTCAAAGTTAATTTTATGAATCTCAGTCTTAGAGTTACTTTTTTATTATTACTATGACCTTAAGGTGCCGAGCAGACGTGTGTCTTGTGTTGGCTACAAGCAATCGGCAAATAGAAGGGAATTTGCTATTTTCATTCAAATTGCGGTCGCGACAACCAGCGATAATAATAATATCAAATGTATGAAAATGCTATATTACATTGTAGTAACTGGTTGATTGTATCCACCATAAGTAACATGTTTGTGCGGTCCTCCGGACCCTCTCAAACACCTGTACTTAGCAGTGGGATCTAATATTTTATAACTTCTTCGGGCATGAGCATAATAATTCACAAAAGTTTTTTCGCAATCGGATATACATTAGAATGCGTACGGGACATACAATCATTTTTTATATTCTATATAGATTAGGGATGCCACAGACGCCTGCTTCTGCGCCTATAACCGCGGATCATCACCATATTTTTAAATATCTGCTACCGCATCCCACATCAGAATCAATCGATGCAGAGTTTTTGCGGATACAAATGTTTTGCAAGTTCACTACAAGATCGTCAGACCAAGCCCTACTCAAAGCGCGTGGCAAGTACTAGTGTTAATTCGAGAATTCGGCAGCGTATAGTGCAGGCAAAGGCCTGTTTGTTGTCTACAAAAACAAACAATATTGAGTTTACATTGACTTACGAAGTTTTTCATTCAACATCTTTAAAAATAATTAGGTATTAATAAATGTCATAATATTTCTATGCTTTATGTCCATCATGTCTTTTGTAATAAACTTATACAAAAACATTTATTTTACTTAATATGAATTAATAACCAATAATTCAACCATCTATCTGCGGATGTATGAAAAAAGTTTTTTTCATACATCCGCATCTGCAGACTTCAACGATGAAAAATTCGCATCCGCGTCCGCATTTTCAGATATCATCATAACCCACATCATCGGCATCCCTGATGTAGATCATAGTTGTTGAAAAGGAACAACAATTTTACAATGTGAAATAAATTTGTAAAGCTTTATTGCGCAACCAATTATAATCGTATACATGACCTCAAAAAATATGTGTATCCGCCATGTTTTTTCCTTTTTCATGAACAACTCACTGGTTAAGCTGAGTTCGCATGTAGAAAATCGTTTCATGATGCTTTTATTGATAAATTAAGTACTTTATGATTAACAATAATGTATTTAAATTATACACTAACTTAATGTTCACCAAGAACTTCAAATATAAACACTAACTTTGCCAACAACTGATCGTAATTACAACCGGTTTACATCACACCATCATCTGTCTGTTGTTGATTTATACCAAGAAACCTACCTACTTGGATATAAAATAGATCGTAACGCTGCAATGAATATGTCATAGTTAACATTATGTGTACATAGTACAAACCACTAACACAACTATGACACACTTTACTGATAAATCTAAATATATGACAGACATTCGATGGAACGAATGTCTCTCTAAATAAGCGAGCTGAACACAGTGAGATCAATATCAAGGAAACATTTGCTGTAACAAAACCTCTATTTTACTATGGCCCTATCAACTATCTTGGTAATACCGACTATATACATATGCTTTGCTCTTTCTAGTACGTTACTTTCTACAATTTCATTAATCTATCCTTTTCCTGGAATTTTATTTTTTTTATAACGTCAAGTGACGGGACAAGTCGTGCGCCTGATGGTAAGCTACACGCCTGTTCAGTTACAGTGCCACTCAGAGCTTTAAATTGCAAAGATCTGAAAGGCACTACCACTGTGCCCGTCATCCTGAGACATAAGTTGACAAGCACACTTACCCTTCCAAACTGCAGAAATGTAAGGTGGCAGTATTACCCTGGACGAACTCTTTCACAGGGAGCTCTACTGCTAGCGATATAGTATAACATGTACAGACATGTATATACTGCTATATCGAGCTGCACAACGACGGATCTTGTTCCGTTGCTCTGCAAGCGATATTCGAACAAAAGTGTATAGCTTGATGTGCTGTTGATTGTACCAAACACGAAACCAATAAAAAATCTAAAATGTTCTTTCATTTGCAGTACTCCACGCGACATCCGCGATGTGGTCGCGTAAGCTGTCTGTAAGCAGCGGCGTAAGCGGAGCCTCCAAGTGCGATGACGCTGACATACCTCTGGCCAGCGGATTGCAGCTCTATCCATTTGCTATTGCGCTTCGAGTCCGAGTCTTACAGGTTCGTACTGCTATAACCAATGCCGACTCACCTTTGTAACTATCAGGAGCAGACAAGAGATGTCGCTTTATTAATTCCAATATTCATTGAATATTATGATGTTTTTATACCACGATAATCATACGGCAAAAGATGAATTTTTCTTTGCGTTTGTTCGGTCTTTGTATCAATAATAACATCTGTATTACACTTTTGATGACATTTATATAGTGAAAGGAGCAAATATAGTTTCCACTGAGAATAAATCGCGTGACCCAACTACTTACTCAATAGCTACAGCAAATTATCTTCTACTTACACAGACTTAAGATTGTTTATAATCTACATTTATTAAGCTAAGTCATCTAATAACCCCAAATTTGAACGGAACAACGAATTAATGAACTGCACTTTCTGAACAGATAGTGTGTGGCATCGGCGGATTAGTCGTGGGTGCTGTTGGCTGGCTAGAGGAAAGGCAGAAACCTGCTCTAGGACTAGGCGTACCTGCTGGAGCCGTGACTGTACTTGCTGCAGGTAAAGCTAAAAACACACTATGTTCTCTCACATTCAAATAATCTCTATATCTAATCTTTATTTCTTAGAAATCGTCACATCGATTAAACTCTACTACTAATTCGTATGGCACATCTTCTTGAGAAGCGTGAGTAAGGAACTCCAGGGTTTGCTCTTTGTAAAGAAACATGTGCACACATTTATGTTTACAATATTTATTACAATATGAGAGGTCAAACAACCTGCTAGAACTAAACGGGTCATTACCATTGATTTTTGTCATCCAAGTACGCAAAACCTGTGGTATAAAGTTTTTGTTTCACTATAGTTTTAAGCTCAGGCCACACAGACGTGGTAAAACGCAGAAAACGGTCCGGGGGTGAACTTGTGGTAAGCGAATGATACCGGGGCGTGTCACACAACAGTCTCAATAGTAGTTCCCAGGAATAGCGGCGCGACGGTTGTCAATGTGACGTCAAAAGCAGCCACTTTCATTTTTATTCATTTTTAAGAAAGCACCACATCGTTGTCGGATAAAGATCAAGAAAATTTTCACCTTTTACTATTGCTACGGTAGTAACCCAAAAGAAATATCGGCCGAATTCATATTCTAACTTAATAAAAACACATTAAAAAACACAACTTCCAAGCCCGTTAAAGTCCCGCTAAAGGCCCGCTCCCGGACCGCGCGCCGCTGCTACCACACTGTGTAGACGGTTGCATGGAACTCAATGGAATACAACTTACGCGCCTGCACCCGCTCCGCGTTCGCCGCCTGTTTCAATGTGGCAGTGTTCATAAGAACTCAAACATTACAAAAATTCCAGCGCCCGGAACGCTCTCACTTCCGCCTCTGTGTGGCCAGAGCATTAAACCTCGTAAATGACAAAATTTGAATATAAATCGGAATCTTATTATAGAAGCGTATACATTGTCCCGTAAACGAATTTGTGAATGACTTTTCATGAATGTACTCTGATATTAGTGTCAGAATGTTAATTTATTCAAAACTCTTTCAAAGACACCCTGGAGCTCAGATTGTCAATTAGATAGATAGATAAAATGTTTACTCAGCACATAGAAGCAGAAATAAACATTTATTATCACTTCGCATGGTATTACAGAAAAGCACTTAGAACATAAATTAGTACACATTGATACAACCACATATTTGTAGAGGAAAAGAAAAACAAATGTTATATTGACCATTCCTATTTGCAACAGTTTATGGTGAAATGGCCCTGACTCGGCATTTCAATTATCTCTCTCTAAATGGAATCTATTATACACACACGCTGGATTATCAATATTGATTAACTCAAACACAAAATAAATGTAGGTTCAGACAGGTATAACCTTAGACTATTGAATTTGTTTTGCTCATAAACAAAAACAACATAAAGCCAACGGCTAAATCGTAAATCCTTCGTAACTTCGAAACAAAGTTTAAATTATTCAAAGTACTCCATATTTTTAAATTCTCGCACACAATCCTCAACTTTTAAGAATTCGAACGAACAGTCCAATTTTTTTTTAACTGACCATTTTAGGCTTCCTGTACTATCTATATACGTATATGTATATATTGTAGTTAGACCTAGGCTGCCAGGTAGGAACCTAGGGTTGATTGTACTAGGTTACAACTTTCACTTACGACTTCAAGTATAGCCTGCTAGCTTTAATAACAACACGAGACGATACTAAACATTATAACACTCATATCACACCCAACAAATTTAGTATAAGTAGAAGTTTAGTAGTAGTAGCTTGTGAAAGAGTACCAATTTCTGCCACTAAGCATTAATGCGAGCATTACTGCGTTCTAAATTTGAAGGGTAAGGGTGCTGGTACAATTACAGGCACATGGGACTTGTCAACTTATGTCTCAGGGTGACGGTCGCAATGGCAGTGCCCCTCAGATCTTTGCTATCTAAAACTCTAAGTAGCACTGCAACTGTTATGGACAAGCGTGTAGCTTACCATCAGGCGCACGACTTGTTTGTTTGTTTGTGAAAGAATTTGCCAATCGGCGTTAGGTACTTGCCGATTGTTGTCCATGGTGCGCCAGACGTGCAGGAATGGATTAACACGTCATACTGGGAAGCTCCTTTCGTATAACCTTCGTCCTGAAACCTAAAGCTCACAAGTCCCAGGTGCTTCTACCAACACCCTTACGCTTCAAAACCGGAACTCAATAATCTCACATTACTGCTTGGCGGCAGAAATAGGTAATAGCCCCCGTGACACAGTTACTCTATCGCGCGTGATCAGTAGTGCGACTCATATAATGAAACCGTTACGTAGCGATTTAGTCGTCGAACTGCTTTTTCGTATTCACGTGTGACAGTCAAATGTCAACGAGTCCAATTTTAAAGTCGTTCGATGCAAATGTCGTTAAAGCGTATTCTGGTATATGAATCGAACTTAAATCGACAAGTCGTAAGTATTCTGCTAAAATTTTGACAGTTCCTTCAATAGACCTTCGACGACTAAACGGTAAATTTCGCAACGCAACGTTTCGATTCTATTCATATGAACGTTGGTTCAAGTGATAGGTGAATATCAATTTTGGATAGGACTTCGATCGAACGACTACGTAACTTTGATAGCTTGAACTTACGTGAATCGCACTACAGAAGCGTACAAGATTGCGCGCGTAAAAACTTGCACAGGCAATCGAGCTCGATTACCTGTTTGAATTTTTTTAAACTAACGTTCTTTCGCGCGCGATTGCTCGTGTTCGTTTTTATTACAACGGAAAGAGCATCCATGTAAAGGCTAAAAGCGCAGGATAGACCGCGTGAAACTAGCGCGTGTTGGAGTGAGCGATAGCGCGCGCGACTGATGACCGTAATGACGCGGTGTTTCCCTAATCCTTCTAATGTCTTTACACGCGCACTCAATCACGCACGATTGCTGTATCACGCGCGAGAAAGTGTGTGTGTAAAGCTCGCAAATGTGGCAGTACTTCTTTGGACGAAATCTTTTACAAGGAGTTCTACTTCTACTAAACTACTGGTACTCATAGCACAGGGAATTTCATATTTTAAAATCAGGTAATTAGTGTGGTTGTTTTTGTTGTGGTTGTTTTATATCGATATGCAAATAATTACTTGCGTTAACGGTAAGGGAAACATTCTGTAGAAATAAAATAGTTGAAAGAAATTGCTTACACTGGTGTATTCCATTAATAACTTAAAATTAAACATGCCGTCACAAGAAGAGGGGAAAAAAGCAGTGTTGCCTGTCTAAATAAAAAATAAAAACATTCAACAAACAATCTAAATGTTTAAATATTTCTTAAACACGTGCAAAGTAAATATATAAGTCAATGTAAATGAAAAGAGACTCTGGTCAGCCAATGAGATGTAAATGATTTCAGTAGTGTGCAATGAATTAGATTTTTTTTAGTTGTAATAAACTTATCTAACATTTGGTCAACGTGTTTGTCAATTCGTTCCAATTGATTCAGATTTAAAAAATTTAAGGTGACAGACCATGCTTTTCATCTGTACATTTATTATTCAGAAAGCTTTCAAACAGATTTCAATATAATGATATTCAGTTCTAAAATCTCTTCTCGCCGCCCTCTTAAAAGTTTAACGTTTTTTGTTGAATGTATAACTTTGCGTAGGTACTGCCAAGAGCACATTAAGCTTAGCACTTAGAATTTTGGATCTTTTTATCGCTAGCGGCACTGAGTTGGATTTAACGTGCTCGTTTGCCGTGCTCTTGACTTTGTAGCCACTTAGAGTGATGTCACACGATGCGTTGCGTTAACTAAACGATGACGCTGTGTTACTACATATAAATTAGAAGTACATGCCACATGGTGCTTTGAAACGGCACGCGGCGACGGAACGCGTGCACATCGGACGAGGGGCCAGGAGACCGGAGGGGTGCTACAGCTACGGTGCTCTACTACTACTACTACTATTACTACTAGTACTATTGCACTCGTTGCGTTTTAATCATAGCGTTGCGATGACGCAACGCACCGGCCGCGCTCGTGTGACATCACTCTTACTTCCGAAACATGTTGTTATTACATTATTTTTTATTCATTTAGAATAAAATAGAAATCGTTTATTACTACGCCACAACAAAAATATACAAAGTAATAAAATGAAGATAAAAAAGATGAAGCTAAATTAAAACAAAAAATTAAAATAAAAATAACAGGAAAAAAAAAGGAATAAAAATACAATTATACACAACAACAAAGCAAACATATATTCAACACAATTAGATTGAATGTCACGTGTTCGGCTGTGGCGTATGTAACAGGAACCTACCCAGCCATTGTCACCACCGAGAAAAGGCTGTGACGCTGATTTTCAGTGGGCCCTAAAACCGAGTGAGTACCGGACGTGTGTCGCGAATATACGAGTACACTTAAATAAATTACATAAATATTTCTATAATGTAGTGTGTTGTGTTCAGTTATATGTATAGAATACTTAATGATTCTGATACATATATAAAGTGGTAAGTGTATGTAATGTGGTGTCCAACATTTACAACAAACAAAATAGAACTTATTTAGTTTAAAATGAAACCGATTGTGAGATTTGTGTCACGTGTACTACGCAAGAAGAGAGGGTAGGCGCGCGGAAGGGGGGACCCCTGTGGGCTTACGAGCACGGAACACTAACCTCACGAGCCAACAAAAGTGCAGCCCACTCCATTGTAAACACTAAACATATTTTGTCCTGCACCGTAACTAATTAGCTCGCATAATAGTCTCTATTTCTAGTCTAGCCTATATTTAGGAAAAGTCACGGATTTGTATCTTAATATAAGTAGTTTATACATGAAGATAAGAATGCCATTAAAGAATTTCCACATTTGAAAAATAACATGAAGCAAAAGCAAAGGTAACGGGATTTACGTATGTACGAATTAAATGAAACTATATAAAACCCCTACACAAAAATAAAGTCACTATTCGCAAGCTAACAACTCGTCGCGACCAATGACCAAATAAAAAAAAATGTGGTGCATTCATTACTTTTTACATAATATAATATTAGAAAAAAACACTTTCATAAATTGTCTTGTGAAGTCCTGTGAATTCGTTCGTGTCGAAACGACAATACCCATGTGAAATATGAATTGCGGAACTAATCTTACAAAATGTCTGAAACAGTTCATAATATTACTGAGTCGGAGTATTAATCATCCTCGGTATTATGGCAGTCGAGCTCTGTAATCTCGCACTCAATTGGAAAATGAAGCGTAAAAGATTTTTATTTTATTTCACAACTTGGCTGAAATTACAATAGTCGAGATTCGTAATTTTGTACCCTACTGGAAGATACCGGGTGTTATTAGTAAAATATATTAATTATTTATATTTCACAACATGGTGGAATCATAATAGTCGAGATCCATAATTTTGCATCCTATTGGAAGAAGCATTTGGCCAGACCGGCAAAATAATAGTGACGGAGTGAAGATATTTGTGTTTTCCATCCGTTACTCTCATCTCTGGACTGTATTCGCACTTTCGATCAGGCGCGGTGCAGTCATTTTGCCGAGTCACAATAAAAAAAAACGTGGTATTATTAGTAAAAAAAATAATTATTTAAATTATTTCACAACATGGCTGGGTTCATAATGGTCGAGTTCTATAATTTTGAACCTCCTACTACATACATGATGTTATTAATAAAATTAGTCGGTTTTTTATATTAATGTGACTTGTTTGCCTTTAATTTGCGTAATATTCCACAGCAACCTCAGTGTACTACAGCCGAGGCTTCGGAGGTTGGGTGTCAGCAAGATCAAAGTCCACGATACGATGGGGGGCGCCATGGAGGGCCTTAGGCCCGTCTCCTTGCGCTGCTGTGCCGTTGACCATATTATGGACTGCTGCTGTCACCGCTCATATCGTCATGTTTACTTTTTGTATGAGATTCTTGACTAATATTGAGTAAGTAAAATTTTAATCTATTTGCAATAGAGTTATTTTTTTGTTTCGCGTTACTCTTTTTATTTTGCAACGTATGCCGTTATTTTAATATTCGTACCCTACTACCTAAAATACTTTTTTGTCAGCCTGTATTATTCCACTACAGCAAATGCTAAATAAAATTGTCTTCTTGTTTAATCTAACAGTCTTCACTCAGAAATCCCATTACAAAAAGTAATTTCGTGTCTCTTTTCATAAAATTCAATTTTACCCCAAACAATATTCTTATCATCGTGATTAACAGATTTTCGCAAACATATTTTATTTCTAAGAGGAAACTTTATTCTTACGAGGATCGTTGTTAATGTCAGCACTTTAGCTGAGTTTTATGAAACGCCTTTGACGGAGTGATGATTTACTTTTAAAAGTTGAGTCCATTGGCATTTATCTACGTTTACACCCATACTCTTAACTTTACACTGGTATATTGATGACCGACTACGAAGTTGGTTGGATTCCAAGAATTGGCTCGAAGTGTTACGCTTCCACATTTATATGGCGAACGACTATGGAGTGGAATTCCATTTCGGAGAGATATATGTCCAGCGCAAACGACAGCAGGGTAGTTATCCGTTAACGGAGAGAAGCCACAATGGAGCAGATGAACTTAACTTAATAATAACTTAAAACTTAAATCTCGTCTCTCGGAAGGGAGATAAGAATCTGGTCGATTTCATGCACCAAAACGCAGGCCTTTTTTTTGACGGGGGGGGGGGGGAATCTTTATGGATACCCCTGAGCCCAGGGAGACTCAGGGGTTACGTGGAGACTCTCCCTCCAGACTGGAGGGCCTACCCCACTAAAACCCCCCCGGGTTTCCCTCTCGCCAGTTGAGTCGGCGCCATGGGATCAGTGAACATTCACCACGACACCAAAACGCAGGCCTACCAATTTTCCGCCAAAAGGAGTTAATTCGATCTGACTCCCACTTTTCGGGGTTTATCTGTTTTTGTTCCCTCCACCCAGGAGCTCCTTGGCATGACATTGAGCGCACGCCGTAACTTAGCGCTAATATTGATTTAATTGCATCCGTGGCCGAAAGATTACCATCACTACCACACAGAAGTCCCAGGTTCGATTCCCGGGCCGAGATAAATATTTGTGTGGCCTACATTTATTTCTCTCGTGAGTTGGGGTGTAATTTGTGGTTGACTATGTGTGAGTCCATGGCACCCGCGACACTGGGTTTCACTGGTGCGAGGATATGTTGAGTGTGTGCGTTATTATTATTATTATTGAATCTAAAGCACAAATCACAAAACACAACCAAAAAAACTGGGTATCCTTAATAAGGTAAAGCATATTTCACGCCTGGACACTTTCATTGCATGGAATATTGATGTCACCTGTGAGATGGTTCAACGAAATATCAACTTGAGGCTCTTGATCCGGTAGAATGTAGAGCCAGTAGGAGACTTATTGGCGATGATAAGCTCAAATCTAAACTTCATGGTTTAGCCCACAGACGCAAAGTGGCTTGTTTGTCGGTTTTCTACAGAATATATTTCGGTGAGTATGCCCTTCATCAGCTCATCCCGGTTTACCATCGGATATCCAAACGTACAGCGAGATATCGTCCTTACTTGGTCGTTATTCCCTTGAGCCATACGTAAACGCTTTTTATCATCTTTTATTATGCGCATAACCCAGAAATGTAATTCCCTGACTGTAACTGTATTTCTGAGCACATACGACGCAAGTAACTTTAAGGTTCGACTGAATAGGCATCTTCTGGGCGAGCTTGTTCCGTCGTAGATCCTATCTTTGCTCCAGGGATTGGTAATGGTCAAGAACAAGTCTATTTACTTTAAAAAAAACCCTGCCTGCGGACTTATTCCCTGAACGCTGTATCATGGCCCTTTTCAAGGCGAGAGTGAATAGGCATTATCTAGGCTTGCAGCTCAATAGTCAACCTCATTATCACTTTCCATCAGGTATGATGGCGGTCAAAGACGCACTTGTTTTTTTTTTTATGAAAAAAGACCTCACAAGCCCTACGAATTGAATTGTGGGTGTTGATTGAGGATCAATTTAGGGTAATTCACCTTTCTGAATTGAAATTTGTTAGGGTGTTCTGGGTAATGCCCCGGAGTGCTGTTGCTGAGCCAACAGACGCTAACTCAGATCGAAGGCAATTTTATTTCTGTTTATTCGATTTTTATCATTATTTTTTTACACAAAAATATATCAAATATCATGGCAGTAAAAACCTCGTGATATAAATTAATGTTAGAGTGGTTACACGCGGTGAATTTTAGCAGCGATGCAAATGCGCGATTCCATCGCTACACTTGCGATTTATAGGTGATTGCATCGATGCAAACGCGAGAATCGCTTATAAATCATAAGTGTAGCGACGCAAACGTGCGTTCATATCGACGCAGTCGCGCGTTTGCATCGCCGCTAAAAGTTACCGTCTGTAACTCTTACCTGTGTCTTTATCTATATAATTTACTCCTGACACTGATTACTGTGTAAAACATAAAATCAATTACATAGCTCAACTTTGACATAAGCACAAATTCTTTTTTTATAATACCAAGTGACGGGACGAAGACGACGTGCGCCTGGTGATAAGAGAGCTTTAAACCGCAAAGATCGGAGGGGTACTACCACTGCTCCTTTCACCCTGAGACATAAGTCGATAAGGCCCATGTGCCAATTTCACCGGCATCCCTACCCTTCAAAACCGGAACACAGTAGTAATTATATTACTGCTTGGCGGCAGAAATAGGTAAGGTGGCAGTAGGTACTACCTTAGACAAACTCTTTCACAAGAAGCTCTACTGTTACTAGATTTATAAAGGTAAATGTCTCCAAAGTTATTACATTATGTAAGTTTGACTTTTTCAAAGTGATACGACAATCAGAAAGTGATAATGGAAAACGGTGGAAGTTTTCAAATGGAACTTATCGAGTAAGAGAGTACCCGTAATATTAGCAAAGTTAACGCCTTCCCAGTCCCAAAACTTTTTGTCTGCAACATATGCGAATATTATAGGGTATAGCTACAATCTGCGTTGACTTGTCCTTTGTTTTGTCGACCCCTTTTTAGTGAAAACCTTTTGTTTGTTATAAATGACCTGCCCTTAAACGCCTTTTTTTTTTGACGAGGGGAAAATCTTTATGGATACCCCTGAGCCCAGGGAGACTCAGGGGTTATGTGGGGACTCTCCCTCCAGACTGGAGGGCCTACCCCACTAAAACCCCCCCGGGTTTCCCTCTCGCCGGTTGAGTCGGCGCCGTGGGATCAGTGAACATTCACCACGACGCCGCCCGGCCTAGCTTGCGCCAGGGCTCCCGCGCCAACGGAGGGGCGAGTCGGTTGTCCTCCGACCCGCCCCCCAGACGAGTGAGGCCGTGCAATGCAGGCTCCGGAGTCCCCGTCCAGAGCCCGCTGACCTCACTAGGGGATCAGGCGAGCAGCGCACTGCCTTCGCCTTCTCCCCGTACGTCTGCGCCGAAGCGGGTGCGCGTCCGCCGCGTCCTCGCGCACCCTCTCCGCGGCCTCCTTTTGCGACATAACTACCCTTAAACGCCTTACCTAACCCTGAAAGAACCAATGGGTTGAGAGAATAAGTAAGTTGCTGATGGCCGCTACTAACCGCCACTACCTGTAGGGAAAGACAACACTAGGGCTCGTTTTACATTGCAATTGCAGATCGCAAATGTTGCTTATTTTTACGTAGCATAAAGAACGTTATTTCAATAGCGCAAGACTGAATTTACATTGCCGCGTAACTGGATGGAAGCTAGTTTTTGTAACGAAATTCTACATAGCGTAATGTACTTTATGTTAATTGTGTAGCGTAAAAACTAGATACGATGCGGTATAGTTGGTGACATATAATTTGCACCGATTCGTCTTATAACTACATCTTTAGAATGCAATAGGACAAAAGAGGGAGTCGTCTCGGTAACGCACGTGCATCTGTATACTGCAAACAACTTGTAACTGTAAACCCTTTTCACATTGGCACTTAATTCTAAACTTGTTAATCTTTAGGCGGAACGGGTGGAACATTGTTGAATTAGTAAAAAAAGAGTCGGCCAGCGTTATTTTACGAAGTAGTTACAGGTTTAAAAAGCTGCCTGATGAGTAAAGAAATAATTCAAAACTAGAATTCGGAAAAAACATTTAGAACATCCAGAACTCGTACGATGTACCAAGATCATTTAGTCCATGTACGCTTTGAGTAAAAGAAGTGTCAGGGCGCATTTATTCGAATTTCATCGCACTCACCACGCGCGGCCGCCGCGCGGTCGCCGAGCGGAGTAAGCGTTGCCGCTGCACAGCGACCGCGTGCATCTAACTGTCATAGCAAAATACGCTCTATTTATTTAACTATTACGTTTTAACTTAAATGGCGTCCCGGGCACGCGGACGAGACTGGCTTAAATTTGGTCAACGCGACGACCGCGCGAAAATTTTCTACTCATATAACTGGGTGCTTAATGGTTTTGTTATTGTATTGTAACAGAAAGGATAATCCGGTCCAAGAGACAACTTTCATCGGTGCAAATAATATTTCTTTACCCTTACGTGCATAAATTCCCGAATCTGCGCGAGAATTCTCCGGAAGGCGCAGGACCTCCTTTTTGGGACATTACTAGTTTGTACGTTACATAATTGACATAAAGTCACTCATGCTATGGTTAATTCCTCCGTGGCCGAATGGTTACCATACCGGACTGCCACGCAGAGGTCCCCGGGTTCGATTCCCGGGCCAGGAGAAATATTTGTATGGCCTACATTTATTTCTCTCGTGAGTTTGGGTGTAATTTGTGGTTGTCTATGTGTGTGTCCATGGCACCCGCGACACAGGGTTTCCCTAGTGCGGGGCTATGTTGAGTGTGTGCGTTATTATTATTATTAATAGGTGGTCGCGTTGATTATGGTGATAGTGTGAGTCAACCTAAAGTCGATGTTATTTTAATAACTTACAATTCAGTTCTTTATT